CTGAGCAGCGTTTGTGAGTGCAGCTCTTATTTGATTACAGCCGTTACTGGGGAAACCTCTATCTCTCCTGCTTTACAAGCTCCTCCTGCTGGCAGAGAATGAATTTGCATATATATGCCGCCACAAATATAGTGCAAGTCTGTGGGAAACACCGCTTCTGTTATGAATATTATTCAATATTTTAATTTGAATGTTGGATTGAAATGAACGCTGTTATTAGAGTAGTTAATCGTTAGCATAAGCGCTAATATAATAAGCAATAGAATGAAGTTTCTTTATTAACTATTTAATGCTCCTATAACTTTTATTAGGGTAAAAAATTAACTGTAAAATTAATTGTAAAATTTTGTACTATTTTTACTATTTTTACACACCAGAGGCTTTTAAATTAATTGCGAATCTAAAATATGCATGTTAGAGAATGTACAAATGGTTAACATTGTTTGTGTCATATCAGTCAGAAAAGCAGTTCTGGGCTTTCGTACATGTTTTCATTACACAAACAGCAGAGGAGGGAGGGACTTCAGGAGAGGACTGCCTTTTTTTTGACCAGCTTCAGACTACAGATGGAGGAAAACAGCAGAGCGGAATGGAAAGAGGGCTGGCAAATGTGACCTAATGGACTGCAGACTTCACATGTGCAACTCAAACATGGATCTCTCTGCTCAATACACATTGTTGCTCTCCACACAGCGCGGGTGGTCCTGTATCATCACAATGACCTAACGTGAGGCATTAAAGCTATCTTCGTTGCTGTAAAGACTGGGTTAGACCGGCATGAATTTCCATGATTTTTTATGCTGGAGATGCTGTTCAGATATCATGATCTTTCTTGTGAAGTTGGTTGAGCTGGTTAAAGTTTAGTTCACCAAAAAATGAAAATTCTGTCATCATTTACTCAACCTCATTTATTTCCAAAACCCATAAGACTTTTCGTTCATCCTCAAAATGCAAATGCAAAAATAAAAAAAAAAACCTGAGAGATTTCTGTTCATCTATTTAAAGTCCATGCAACCAAAACTTTGATGCATTATAAAGTTCATAAAGAAGAAACCCATATAATTTGAGCAGTTTGATCATGTTAAAGGGGTCATATAACGTTGCAAAAAATATATATATTTTGTGTATTTGGCGTAATGCAATGTGTACGCAGTTTAAGGTTCAAAAAACACATTATTTTCCACATACTGTATTACTGTTTTTACTGTATTTTTGATCAAATAAATGCAGCCTTGCCAAGCATAAGAGACTTCTTTAAAAAACATTTTAAAACATTTACCGGCCCCTAACATTTGAACGTTAGTGTGTGTCTGCTAAATTCAGTCAACATTAGAGAGCACACTAGCATACAGATAACCTCAAACACTAAAAGCCAAAAAAAATCTCATTTAGATTTCAGCAGGTCTTTAACACATTTTCATCACAATCCACTGCAACAGCTTTTACTCCTCTGAAGTCAAGGGAGTTTTATTTGGCAAACTGCATCCCTGTTACATTTCAGCTCGTCTTAATGAAGGCCTGACTGGAGCACAATGTGGCAGGCAGTGGGCAGGAATGCTCCGTACATGTTTTCATTACACAAACAGCAGAGGAGGGAGGGACTTCAGGAGAGGACTGCCTTTTTTTTGTCCTCCATAAAATGCGCTGCACACACTCGAATATTTGGGTTGTACACTTGTACCGTTCTGGAACAGTGTTGTAAATAAAACTTAACCACTGATTTCTCGTTGTGTCCCCTTTTGGAAGGCCAAACAAAGTAGTTTGGCTTTCACAATGAAACACACAGCGTCTCCACGATATGGTGCCAGCGGCAACAATACTACAGCGAGAATAAAAGTTACGCCTTCTTTCTTTGAGTATGCATTTGGGCGGTGTTATGCAAATCTTCCCACACAGTAGGGCTTGCATAGACTAGTCGAGTAGTCGAGTGATCGACTACTTCAACCACTAGTCAGCGCTGTCGGAAAGAATCGACTACTCGAGCATGCATTAACCTTAAGTTTGCAAGTACAACGTGACATAATGCATGCACAGAGTTTGCAAATACAACGTGAATTTAGGATTACAATATTGCGTGTATCTGTTACTTTTTATGACTTTCTCTATGTTGCATGTAAAATTAAAATATGTAATGTAATAATTAGGGGTGTGCCCGAAGCCGAATACCTTATTCGGAATGGCATGGATAATGGCTTCAAAAACGAATAACGGATAAGGAATAATTCTAATAAGGAATAATATTCGGCTGAGGCTGGCAAAGTCTGGTGTTTGCTAGATAACAGGTGAGCCAGGGGATCAGCGCAATATTATACACAGACGACAGACCTCTAAAGTCACGCAATAATGAGTGTGTGAAGTGAATGTATCAACTAAAATAATACATCATACACGTTCTATTATTTGTGTATATTTAAAAGGCAATGATTTAAACCTTAGGCTATGATATGATACACGTATGAATGGAATAAACAGCGCGCGCGCTCACCAATCAAACAGCCGCGTTGCACATCTCAGTCTCTCAAAAACCAAACCAGCTCTCTCTCAATAGTATAGGCTAATAATCATCTAAGATACAGATACATTTTCTACTAGGCCTACATGTTTACTTCTTTATCTTTTGCTGGTTTGCGTGGCACACGCACATTTGTTTAGTGAAGTTCAAAAAAAGACTCGCTTAAAGAATTCTGCATAATGAAAATGTGCGCCTTGAATTAATTCAGTCGTGTCCAAATGATCACTAAACGTAAAATAAAACGTATGTAATTGTTGCATTAGGCTATGAATTACTAAACGTTTATTGATAAGAACTATTACATGTCTTTTCATTTACAGCATGAACCACGAGTAGTCGAGTAACTCGAGTATTTTTTAAATAAGAAATCGACTCGCAGAAATCAGTAGTCGTGCAACCCCACCACACAGTGACGTAGATTTGTGGGGGCGTGTTTGAACTAGGGCTGTGCGATTAATCGAAATCGAATCGAAATCGCGATTTGAGACATTGCGATTTCCTAATCGCAAAGCCTACGATATGGACGCGATATTACTCTGTTCCAGAGCATATGCATGACTGCCAGCCGCAAGTCTTCACGAGCGCATCTGGCAGTATGAATGAGGCTTGACGCACGCACGCAACCTGTCGAATTTCTGTGAAATTCAGTAATTAAGTTAATTCTGTAAAAGTAGTTATACCATTATAATCTTGCCTGCTGAAAAAAAAAATATAGAACCCCTCCCAAAACACAATAACAAATGTAATGGATTTCAGGGTTATAATGGGAATTTGTTTGGTTTTAATGTCAACTATAATGGTGACTATTTGATGGATTCTATTGGTGGGATGTAATCTGGCAGATGGCAACCAATAGAACAACAGTAATTCCTATTGGAATAATCCCCAAAACAAAAAGGAATTTTGTAATGGTTTAATGGAAACTATAAGAATTTCTGTGATGGTTTCTATTGTTTTTTTCAGAAGGGTAATGATACCCATACTGTACTGCACATTATTGGCAATATTGAGCTGAAGCTTGACTTTGCAAATTTAAAATCGCAAATCAAATCGCAATTTGATATTTTCCCCCAAATCACACAGCCCTAGTTTGAACGAGGCGTTTTAGGAAGGCGTGGATGAGTGTTCACTTTTATAAAGAATATCTCTTTGGGTTTGAGACTTTAATCTTTGCGACTTTATGGATCTTCTGTATGCACAAAAAAAATCGTAATTTGTGTTCCAAAATGAACGAATGGTTTTGGTTCAACATGAGGGTGAGTAAAGGAAGACAGAATTTTTTGATGAACTACAGTAACTATTCGAATCAGTCCATCCCAAACCATTTTAGGAGGCAACAAACAAATGTTTCAATGGCCAGCTAGCAAACTACGCTTGAAGAAATGCAAGGGAGTAGCTTTGCTTGATTTCAAAACATTTCAAATATGCAGGGGAGCAGAACCAAAATAACTCTAAACCAATAACAAAACTGCTGGTAAGATGAATTAAGTTAATTATGTTGCAAGGTTGAAGGTTCAAGGTTCAAGACTTTTTTAAACACCTGACTATGAAAGTTAATACAGCCTGCTTTAGTGAGGAATGGACAAACAAGTCTGAACCTGTGCTCCTACACATAAGGTTACGCATTGCTTTTGATGGGGTACATAGATAAGACGTGGGTGCTTATATTATCAGGAGAAAGGTTTGCCTCCCCCATTCTGTCTCTATGGCAACCGGCCCATAAAAACCTGCGATGCCCCCGTTGGCCGACCTCCCCACATCACTAGCGATCTAGGCACTCGGCCAAACGTCCAAACATTTCAACCTGCAAAAACGCTGTCGCCAAGGGCTAACATCGATTCATGAATAAAGGTAAAGGATGTTGGTTTCACAGGACTCAGAGGGGCATGTGGCTCTGCATGAGGGGCTTTATAGAGTCTGGCATTTATAGTTCATCTAAACGCTCTGGAGGAGGATCCAGGGTAGAACGGGAGTAAAGTATAACTCACGGATGACAGAGGTATTCTCAAGAAATATTTAACAGAAAAATCTAACCCAAATGCTGATATATACACATGCACACAACTGCATGCTAAGGTACACTTGCAAACACAAACATAAGCATGCACAAAGACCAGGGAGCCAAAGATTTTGACACACTGGACTGAATTTGTGTTTTTCCAATATCTTAAAGTATTTTGAGGCTAAAAAATATAAAAAAAATAAAAATATAATGTAATATATTTATTTGCTAAACTATCAATTTAATGACTATTTTTTTAAGCCTTTTTTAGCCTCAAAAAACATATTATACATACATACATACATACATACATGCTAATACCAGTGTTTCTACAGGAAGCCACTGTGCATTAGAGCCAGAAAGCCTATAAGAGTGTGCTTCCTCTTCTGCTGTCAAATGTTCAACTTGAAGACCCTAAAGAAAACTTCCTGTGCTGATGTGGAGCATTTTTTGGACACAAGTAAGTAAGGTTTATGTAAGCTGTACCTGGAAGTTGCCGACCATGATGAGTCCTGCAGCACAGATCCAGCCGGTGGAGAGACTTGCTGTGTTTAACACGCAGTTCTGGTGCTTCTCTATCACATGGGCATAGCGCAGCAACACAATCACCATTACTGAGAGTAGGAAGAAAAAAAAAAGATGTTATTTTATAAAGAAACACCACAATTAAATTTGCAAAAAGCACAAATTTAAAAGACACTGAATATGTGTGTGTGAGTATATATATATATATATCAATTCCTAATGAAAAGCCTAGCAGCCTTCAACAATGTGGTCTTTAAATACAAAACCGTTTGTGTCAACCATCTGGATAGTCTGCAACAGTCACTAAGACATGCCCTGTCAAATGTTACAACAACATTTTGCAGTTTTGCAACATTCAAGATTTCTAAAATATGAGTTCATATTTACGTTCATATTTGGCAGACACTGTTAACCAAAGTTCATTTAAGGTATACAATGTTAGCAGTATAAACAGGGTCCAAAAGTAATACTCAATAAGAAACATGAGAGTTAGTGATGCATGCGATCCAAAACAATTGGAAAAATCTGTTTTGACTTGCCCTCATCTTCTAATGACTTAAACTTCTCATTGGGAAATCTTCCACTTACGTACATGTAGGATGATATCTATGAGGCATATCTAATTTATTTTCCTTCAGAAGTCTAAGTAGTGACACATACGTAAAATATTCATTCCATAAGCCACTAGTGCAAGCCAAACAGTGAAGCATCTTAATGTATATGTGACAGGCACAGTTTCACAGAGAGACTGGTTCACTCATCTTAAGCGACACAGAGACCAACAGTGTTTTTTTTTTTAAATATGCACAGAAACAGCTAAATAGTCCCGTTATCATAATGCCAAAAATATATAAGCCTATATCAATCCATTCTCCAAACCACTTGTCCTCTTTAGTGTCACAGGGATGTTGAAGCTTATATAGCCTATTTATTTTATAATAATATAACTTTTACTTTTTTTCATACATTTTTTAAAAGAAGTCTCCTATGCTCACCAAGGCTGCATTTATTTGATGAAAAATACAGTAAAAACTGTAAAATTGTAAAATATTATTACAATTTCAAATAACTTTTCTATTTAAATATTTTAAAATGTAATTTATTCCTGTGATGGCAAAGCTGAATTTTCAGAATCATTACTCCAGTCTTCAGTGTAGGGATTTCTATCGCGAACAGGACTAGAAATAAAATTAATGATTAATTCCCTTATAGAATTAATGAGTTCAATTCCTTACAGTACAACATCAGTGTCACATGATCCTTCAGAAATCACTCTAACATGCTGATTTGCTGCTTATGAAATATTTCTCAAGAAATCTTTTGTAACATTATAAAAGTCTTTATTATCACTTTTGATAAATTTAATGCATCTTACCTGAATGAAACCATGAATTTCTTAAAAACAACAAAATATTGCTTTTAAAATCCAGCTTAAGCTATAATTTGAAGTACAGGAACAAAGTTAATTTGCTCTCCTTAGGTTGTTTTATCAGTTGTTTGTACAAATAAGATGGCATACAGTATGTCATCTTACTAGGTTAGTGTGACCTAACAAATGAGACATAAGAAAGATAGTATCTTTACTCATTTCCAAAACAGCTGGCCTCAGACTCGCCGAGTCAGACTCACTCTGACAAAACATTATTTCCAGTATTCTTTGGACAAGAAAATACTCATTGTTTTCCTGAAAAATTTAAAGGCTGGCAATGTGGAAAGATGAGGAGAGAGTGGATAAAAGAGGGGCTTCATGGTGAGGGGGGGGGGGGACAGACAATAAACCACCCCTCCTTTCTCAGCCCAGTCCACCTCCCAGAATACTCCTAGTCAACATTAAAGCTGTCATGACACGATTACTTATAGTACTGAAACACTGCAGGAAGGACCAGCATGAATTTACATGCTAGTTAGTGCTGGTCTTGCTTACGGACCACTATAGTCATGTTTCTAAGCAGTATGATGCAAGTCAACCAGCATGGTGAAGCTGGATGATCAAGAAAGTCTTGCTGATTAAGCTAGATCAAGAGCTCATTGAGGACCAGCATCCAAAACAAAACATATGCAGGTGATCTTCTATGCTGGTATTTTCAGCATTCTACATATAAGAGGCTATATGTAACTTTTGCAGTAGTAACTAATTTGTAACTAGTAACTACGATGTTCGATACAGCATGGTGTTCAATACAGCAAGTGACAAGCATGGAAAAACAAACAACATGTCTGCAGGCGAAGGAAATTAACTCTGTTTAATAAAATCCAGCTGAAATGGCACAACAGCAACAGAAATTGTGGCGCGTAATGGTTGTTTACTGCATTAGACTACACTGTCAGCTGCAGTCTTCCTTCCCAAGCATCTACTGTTGACATTTCCCTCATGAATGGGCCCTCAGTGGATACAGGTACAGGAACAATGGGAATTTAGCACAGACAGCAATCTGCAAATGGCTAAATATATCTGATCCGCTGACTAACTTTAAACTTTATCTTCTTGTGCTCTGGACAACCCCAGAATCCCATTCTTCTAAATGGGTGTAACAAAAAGGTCAAAAAAGGTCAAGGTCTTTCCAACTGCCTGTCTGTGTACATGGTTGTGTGTAGGTGTGTTTGGAAGCACTGTTTTCTGGAAATACGTTCCGTAGGGCGCAAGGCAGGGGCCTCCACAAACACATGGTTCCCAATGGACATGGGCAATTATTATATCTGCTGAGTAACTACACCACACTTCACAGACAAACAAAGCTATGTTTAACTCCAATCAAACTCACTTTATATTAATGGCAATGTTTAGCCTGAAAATGTACCTCTCTTGAGCTAGGTATTTCAGATTCTGAAAAGTCAAGGCAAGTAATACGCCTTGAGCGTGTCATTGGTCTGGCGTCAACATGACAGGGTGAGAGACCCCTAGGAATGCCAGACAGGACGCTTGCAAACTACGGTTGTGCATTATTTAGAGCTGAATTGAATTTGAATTGAAGGATGCAGAATTGAAATTCGAATTTGAAATAAAAGAAAGTAGATTTTAAATTAATTTAATAAACAGTTGTATAAATATTTTATAAAGGTTTGTAAAGCCAAACTTTGAATGTTGGCTTGACAAAGACTTTTTGCCCAAAAAAAAGCCTTGAAGTTTGAAGATTTGCAAACAGACTGAACTTTGAGTTAATTTCTTTGCATTTCAAATCAATACAATTTCCTCTTCCTGTTATTCCAATCAGTGTAATTCTAGAATAATTTAGTATATACTTTAATAGTATGTCTGAATATTTCAAATTTTATTTTTATATTTTTAGGTTTTAATTTTAGTTTAAATTTTAGTAACTTCATTATGTGCTTTTGTCATTTTCATTAGTTTTGTTTGTTTTTTAGTTGCTTCTATTTATTATTCTATTTATTTCTGTTTAATTTATTTTATTTTTAATTATCAATTTCAGTTCATTTTGTAATTTTAGTAATTTCAGGACTTCAACTTAAAGTTATTTTATTTCAGTTAGTTGCAAAGGAATGTTTCAAATCTTTGGTTTTTAAGTTATTCATCTAATATTCATCTAGATCAGCTAAATCAGCTCACATACAGAATCTCAGTCACGTAATCTCCTCTAATTTCTGTGTATCTCTGCTCCGAGAAGGTTTCAGTTTGTAAGGGGTGAAATGTGGCAGAAATACTGTAGCCCAAACACATTAGCGAGATGACACCTGTGTATTTATGGATCATGGGTTTTCACCTTGGTGCAGCATTCCCTCAAGAGAACAAAAAACAGGAGATAAAATTAAACAACAGCCCTGTCACAAGGTCTTCGGGAGCCTGAACTAACTTTGGTCAGTTCCTGCTGCGAACTCTCTCCACCCTGTTTCCCATCTGTTAGAGCGCTACAGTGCTGAGAGATGTTTCCTCTAGTGCATGCTGACATCAAAAAGAGTTCTTGAAAGCTCAGATTTGGGAACATGGAGCATTATATAAGCCACAAGAAAACAATGCAGTCACCGCTGGTCACCCTTGATCGAATGTTCAGCATGCCTTTTTATCGTGGTGTTTTATAAACTTTTTAATGTAAACAACGGCATTAATATCCTATTGTCCTGGAACGGTGATGCAATCAATCACGTAGCATTCAAGGAGGTTCGATAGTCGTGTTATATAAAACACACTTTCAAAAACTATTCAAAATTCAAGTATCTTGTATTGTTGGATGAACAAAAGTAATTTCCTTGTGCAAACAGGCAGAGCCCGAATCTCCCAGCAGGAGAACACTCTCACTTATCGTTACACTGGGTGTGGGATTGAACACAACAATACAGCCCTTCAGCTCTCAGCATGAACACTGCCACCAGGCCCAGACGCTCAGGTCAGAGGTCACACTGAACCAATGATTCTTTACAAGTCTCTCCTCTGACAGACCTGCTGTATAGTTTGCACTCGACTGTAACCGACAGCATCTGCATGAAGTATAGCTCTGCTCACACAGAATACAGCTGAATTTATGTCCAGGGAACACCATGAACAAGTCTTAAAAAAGAACAAGTCTTAAAAAATAAGATGTTTTGTAATCCGATATAGCTCAAATATCTAAATGTTAGCTATTAACATTTTTATTTAAAGGGGATTTCGGTCCTTGTTTATCTGCTTGCCCTCTGGTCATTGTTTTTGCTGTGATGTGATTCAAATTCAATTCAGATCATTTCTGAAGATGATTCATCCTTCCTGAACAGCAACTCACTTGGTGTCTGATGACAGTGTTTGGTAATGTGCAGTGACTGCATCGACCGCTCAGTTTTATAAATGCTTGAACGCACATACCCACTCAGCTTTTTTTGAGTTGTGAAATATCAAAGTTACATGTAAACAACTGCTTTTCCGGGCAAGTTTAGAGAATGAGCAGTGTGTATTGTCTGCGTTTAGATGATAATGTCTTCCCCTAAAAATCTGACATGAGTGAACATAAACACATGTGTAATGTTGAAGATAGTTGGCCTTGTATAGTTCGTGGTGATATTACACAAACGCAAACACACTAAGCCTGTGGTTTCCTGAGCTGATTGCTGCCCAGACAGTGAATCATTGTGCTACAGATGGGAATCATTTACAGAGTGAACTACAGATTGATCTGAAATTCCAAAATCAAAATAAAGTTGAAATGCTGTAAATGAGGAAAAAGGAAGTACACGCTTAAAGGTGAAGTATGCAATCTGCACATTTTAAAATACTTTCTCCTATGCCAGCTTAACATGCAGATAAATCTGTAAGCTATCTGCAGGTTGATTTCCCCAAAAAGTGTAAACACTGATCTGACACAGATTTTTTTTTTGAGCATCCTAATTAGCACAACACAGCAAGTTTTAGAGTGGCGCTGTCTGTTTACAGATAGATGAATGTGATTTTTTTTTGAGGCTAAGGATTTCATATAGCCACTATGTGAAATTAAATGCAAATACAAACTAAAATTAATAGAATGTACACTGCTGTTCAAAAGTTTGGCCAATAATTTTTTTTTTTTTAAAGAAAATAATACCTTTATTCTGAATTAAGGATGCATTAAACTGATCAAAAGCGACATTTATGATGTTACAAAATCCATCTCAAATAAAAGCTGTTCTTTCGAACTTTCTATTCATAAAAGAATCCTGAAAAATAGTATTTTTCATAGAGTAAAAATATTAAGCAGCACAACTGTTTTCAACATTGATAATAATAAGAAATGTTTCTTGAGCAGTAAATCAACATATTAGAATGATTTCTGAAGGATCATGTGACACTGAAGACTGGAGTAATGATGCTGAAAATTCAGCATATATTCAAATAGAAAACAGCTATTTTAAATTTCAATGAAATTTCACAATATTACAGTTTTTACTCTATTTTTGATTAAATAAATGCAGCCTTGGTGAGCATAAGAGACTACTTTCTTTTAGAATGTCTTACCAACTTTTAAACTGTAGTGTAAGTGGGAGATGTGCATTGTAAACTCACCCATAAAGGATCCGGTGCTGCAGATGAGGCTGAAGAAGCAGCTCTCTGGAGGAAGTGTGCCGCATTTACTGCAGATCAGAACATCAGAGCAGAGGTTAGATGCCCAGGGTTCTCACCACATGAATAAACACACATACATAGATGCACATTCCAAAGCAAAGAGTCCTGAGGGATGAACTCCCATTGGCAGCTGACTAAAACAGGCCTGTTTGGCTCTTGGGAGCACACTGGCAGCTAGGGCTGTCACGATTATGAAATTTGGCTGACAATTAATTGTCTAAAAATAGTCACGGTTATTGCGATTAAATGTCTGTTTTAGGGCTTTGGCGATTATGCCGATTATCACGATTAATTGTCTGTTTTTATGGCTTTCATTATATAATTGATTAATTTAAGGGTTCAGCAAATAATTATGATGTTATCTTTTAATCTTTTGGAGTTATTATTTTGCAGTGTAAGATTACATAGAGTATTCCAAATTCTAAGAATTGGCCAATACCGATCCAACACCAGCGCTACTTTTTTTCTACACCACTACAGAATATCAATACTGTGTTTGTGGAACTAATGGTCACTCTTTTAAACCCTTTGTTAAACGCAATCCACTAAATACTCATGTAAGCTAGTTTGTCATTGTATCTTACTGATTTATTATTGTTGTGCTTTTTAATTAAGAATAACAATAAGGCCATCTTTTGTTTTAGTCTTTAAAAAATGAAAGGTGTGTAGATGTATTTAAGCAAAACAGTGACAACAAGATCGCGAATTCGAAAGTGAAAGCATCCGAAGCCCGCGGCTTAACACAGCAAAAGAGAAACTTCACAAAATTCAAATCACAAATAATACTACTGATGATAAAGAACGGGTTGAATGTTAACCACTTTCGTTTCCATATAACTATAAACTATGATAAAAGTTCATCAGCATGCATTGAATGTTGTAGTGCAAAAAAATAAAAAATAAAAAAATATTGCGACCAAATCATGTGCTCGTGCGACCAGCTGAGAAAGTTAGTTGCAAAAGAGCGACCAGTGGGAAGAATGAGTCTGGAGCCCAGGCTATACAGTGCATGAAAAGCAAACTGGTGCTCTTCTGTTTCTTTTGGTGTATGACTCCCCCTTGTCTCGTATAAAAAGCACAATAATCACGGTTGTCTGAAACAACCACGGTTAGATCAAATAATCGCGATTAGACGGTTATTTAATTATCGCGACAGGCCTACTGGCAGCTGTGGGTTATGGGGATGGAGCTAGAAGAGGGCTTGAGGACCCTTAGCTTTTCTCACACAGTCACTCTGTATGGGAAATGACAAAAGATAAGCAAAGATAGGGCCTTCACCAAAGAAAAACTGAGTAAGCATTTCACCATGAAAGGAAATCTTCCTTATAAACACAGGTAATCATTCCTGAAGGCCATTTCAGCTTTATATAACATATCACTGTGGTATGAAGCCTATAAAAGGAGATGCAGCTGCAAATAAATGGAGTAAACAAACCTAAATTTACAGCCAATCAGCCGAAAATTGTTGAGAATGACAGGCTACGTACTACGTAGCTCATTGGATTCTTTGCCTTAAAGGGATACTACATTCAAAAATGTAAATTCTGTCATCATTTAATCACCCTCATGGGTTTCTAAACCTGTATGGCTTTCTTTCCTCTGAAGGTAGATTGCATATTCCTGTCTTTTCCAAACAAACACTTTTATAGTGACAACAGTTTTTAAGATTTAAAAAATGACAAAAAAGCACCATAATAGTCTCATTAAAAGTGATACATTTGACTTTTGAAACCATATGATGGATGAGGGACACACTAAAATTTAATCATTATTCATTGAAAATCACATTCAACTTGTCTACAACTTGCCATTGTATTCAAAAAATTATTTTGTTACATATTAGAAAGTAAGTGTTTTGGCCATGACATAACTGTAAATTAACTGTAAGACCAAATGCCATGTTCTCCTAATAAAAATTATCTGAACCAAACTCAGCTTTCCAAAACCATGTAATAAGTTCCTGCCAAAGGAGCCTCTACTTAATTAAATATAGCTATGCTTTCTATTAATAAATCACTGAGGTGTTCAGCTCTATAATGATAAGCTGGAAATGTGTGTGCTGTTCCAAGTGTGATTGTCTGTTGATCTGACATTTCACCCACTTTAGAGCACCTCTGGGCTGAGAACCGCAGACTATGGTGGGTAGCAGTCAAAATAAACCCTCACACAAACACACACGTCACACAAACACACACCACACACACACACACACACACACACCATGGGCCATCAGGGCCAGCAAAGCCTTCTCTGCTGGCCTAAACAATATCAGAATCAATGACTTCATTTGAATATATTTTTCATGAATGTGTATTTAATTATTTCCAATAGTCTATTCTCTTCATTTCATAGTTTTTCTCTTGGTTGCGCTGCTTCCAGTAGTGTATTTTTATATTAGAGCTTTTGTCAAATCATATTTCAACAATCATGTGCTGCCAGGGTCAAAGAAATCTTCCTCGAGGCCTTCAGAATCAACAGTGCGGGTGTCTGTAGTTTGAAATAAATGGCAATGAAACCATTGCTTTAACCAATCAGATTTCGACTGTAAATCTATATACAGTAGTAAATGACTGCGAAAAACAACGGGTCTGTGATAAAGATGAAAAAACACTAGAGTATGTTAGGTTCATCTTCATTTCTGACTTTTTTATGCGCTTTATGCATTTTATTCTGATGTTATTTGCAAGATATATAAAGCTACATTTAATTTTCCATAAGAATATCTAAGGAGCGCTTAGTTTCAGAGTCAAGCTGTATTAACCGACCTTTTCCTCCCGGCCATCATAAAATCCCCTCAAAATTCTAAATAATAATAAAAAAATATTATTAAACAAAAATGTATTACACTGATTTTCCTGAAAAAAAAAAGTTACATTTCAATGCTCACTTTTGACCGCGAAGGAGCCAAGTGTGACCCCTAAACGAACAGTCCCAGAGTGTTAACTAATTATCAAATAATACCATTGAAGACAAACACTGAAATGCCTATATGCTCTGGGAGTAGGAAAAGAGAAAGGAAAAAACAGTCCCTTGTTTGATTGTGTTCATTTGATTCAGGTGTGTATCGTCTATTACCCTTGTTTAGTTTAGTATTTAAAGTGTTGTCTGTTCTATGGTTCCTTGGTCCACTGTTATACGTCTATTGGTGCTACGTGTGTCTCCTGCCTGCCTTGTGTTACCCTTTGGTTTGTTCATTAAAGACTGTTATTCCTGCTACTCCTACATCTCTGTGTTCCTTGCTCCTACACAGTACGCAACCGTTTTTGTATGATGTATCGATATATTTTTAATATGCAATATTGTGTGAGGCAGTACCATTTATATCAATACTCAGCAGTTTGATTTGAGCACATCTGAATAATAGCAGAAGACGCAGAGTGAGCTGCTGCGGGGGAAGCGCATAATCCAATTTGTCCTAAACATGAGACATGCTTTATATTAAGGACTTTAAAATAACTTGCAAGATATACTAGTTAACACGTATAGTTTAAAGCGGTTGCCCTGTCAGATGCTCTGCCAGACTCTTGTGCTGCTGACAAACAGGCTACTTCCCTGATAGCACACATATATCACGGAGATGTCTATTTGACGTCTGCCTTTACATCTGCAAGATGTATATTTGCTCATCTGCAATACGTCTATATGACATTTCCTATTAGATGTCAAATAGACGTTTAGAAAATGTCTTTAAGATGTTTATGATTTAGAATGTATGTAAAACTGACATCTTAAAGACGTCTATCAGATGTTTGTACACAGCAGATGCTTTCCAGAGCGATCTTTAGCAGACATCTTGCAGACGTACGTTTGCTATCTGGGTTGCTCTGTTTAATGCGTTTGAGATGTGCTGTTTTCCTCAATTAACTTTTCACAGGTATATTCTCCATCTGTAAATGTTAGAAAGTCATGGAAATATTTCTGTTTTGCTGTCAGGAGCCTTCTGCGTGCGATTCTCCTCTAAACTTCACAGACTTCAGTGAACAAGTGCCACTGCGCGCATGCACGCCAAACAGATGGAGCATAGAGCTCAATAATTGTGTCATATGTAGAATTTTAAACCTACAAGTAAGTGTATTTTATGATAGCAGATAGTAGTGCTGGGTAAAAATATCGATATCTCGATTTTAATCAATTCTCATTTTTACGAAAAGATACCAATTCTTAAATCCCAAGAATCGATTATTCTAGCCTGTTTTCAGTTAATGGACGGAACATTGAAGCGCACCTCCCACCCAATAAATCGCAATAAGCATTGTGCTTTGGTACTTTTAAATATGAAACAAAGTCTCAGATTTAAATTTATGTCCATTGTATTGTAGTATTCAAACAATAAATGCCGTTTTGGCGCTGTTTAATGTGGAGTGACAGATCGCTGTAGTGCCTCAGATCAACAGATGCAGCAGCGCATAGCGCACGTTAACTGATCATCTCCTCCACATTAATACCAGTTTCAGCACAAAATAAATGTGACAAAACATCCGAAGGCAAGTTAAAAGAAAGAGTACAACTTTACAATCAGTATCCTGTCTCATCTAAACGCTCAATCAGTGTTTCAGCTGCGCAAAAACGTCAATATAACAGCTTGTAAACAATTCATGTAACATCACATTTACCTCAGAAAGCATATTTGGTGACCATAAACTCGTTAGTCAGCCAGAAAAATAAACTCTAGAGAGGACCATTTAGCTAAATATATGCACCATATAACATTCATTATCATTTTTTTTACCGTTCTTTAATGCTTTATTTATGTTTGAATAAATCTGTCCAAGTTTTTATGACAGCCACTATTTAAATGTGTATATTTAAAAAAAAATAACTGAAGTAATTGTAACTTAATTATTATAAAAACTGAATTAAGTGCAATTTAAGCAGTTGTACAGCACAAATCAGTCAATTTTAACCTTCAATGTTATAATGTAGTACCAACTGACTCTCATGTATATTTTACAGCATTAGTTGAGAGATTTTGTTTTTCCTTGAGAAAATTTGGCATGTACTGTACCTGATATGTATCCAAAATAATCGATATTGAATCGAATCGAATTGGTAATCGAATTGAATCGCAAGCTTGTGAATGAGAATCAAATCGAATCGTGAAATTTGTGTCAAAACCCAGCCCTAGCAGATAGCAGTAATGGGGTAATCAAAATATAATGCAATTAATCTGTGCTCTTGTG